CTACCTTTAATGAGGCACAAGTCCATGGCTCACTTTGCCTTCATTGGTTTCTTCCTTGAGATTTTCTAGCATTAAATGTCATAATAGTTGTGATTTAGAAACTCTCTCTTTTCTCACCATTTTGTTTCTGGGAGCTTTTTTTTTTTCTGAGAGTTTCATATGGGTAACATTATTAATAATAGACTACCAAACATTAAACAGAAAAGAATAATAGAACTTATGCCTGACCATCTCTACTTGAAGTCAATCAAATGTAAGATAAGAAGAAGAATACTGTTTCTATTCAGTAGTTTTTTAGGGGTATATGACTCTTTGTGACCTTATTTGGGATTTTCTTGGCAGAGGTGCTGGAGCTTCCTTCTCCAGCTCTTTTTCCAGATGAGGAAACTAAGGCAAGCAAGGTTAAGTGACTTGCCCAGGGTCACACATTTAGAAGTGTCAAAGGCCAGATTTTAACTCACAAAGATGAGTCTTCCTGTTTCCAGGCCCAACACTCCATCCCCTTTACCACCTAGCTGAGAATAAGAATATTAAAGGTAATAATAACTCACATAGCACTTTAATATTGGTGAACTACTTTATATTTACATTTTATTTGATTCTTCCTCCTAAACCCAGCAAAGTATGTGAATTTGTTTATTTTAATCTCATTCTATGATCTTCGCAAATTCTTATTTGATAGATGTAGAAACTGAGGCTCATGAAAGTTTATAATTAAACATCATCATATTGTTTGAGATGCATCATGGAATACTGGAAAGAGAACCAGCTTTAAACCTCTGAAAGACTGGGTTCAAGTGTTACCTCTACCACATCCAAGCTTGGTGACCCTGAATATAACACAGTGTCCAAGCAGATCTCTTTATCTGCCTTGTTGGAATAAGATCCACATTGAGAGCTACCCACACCAATGAAATCATGGGTACAGACACCACCCACACCAACACCCAAACGAGATTATGAAAGACAACTATTGAGTTGGTGTTTATTTCACAGAAATAAACTATGAATCACCAGTAACAATTCAATAACCTGGGTGAATAGTCTGTACTCTTTTTTCAGAGGCCAAGTCTCTTTTCAAGGTTGGGGAGACACAAGAAGATTTGGTTTTCTTTCCCTGCCAAACAACACTATAATAAAGCAGTTTAATTGACTTTAAGTTGTAAAAATCTGTTCATCGTTGTTTCATATCCTTGACATTATATGCCCGCTTGCATAAAATCACGTCAAATCATATCATGTCACTTTCTGTTATGTTAGGTATGCAATGCTTCAACAAGACATGATTTGATCAATGCAGCATGCTGGATATTTAGAAATCTTCATTCTGTTTTCCTTCCTCTGACAGAATGCAATATGACACGACCAGTGTGTCAAGCAAGACATCTAAGGTTGGAGGAGAATAAGTTGAAAACAATTGCCGATTGTTGGGCTTTTCTATTCTACTTGCGTGTCCTGCAGAGAAGGACAGGGTGTGAGGTGCTAACATTCTGTCACACTTCTAGGGACTTGCTAAGTCACTGGACTTCGCAATGAATAGAAGCAAACAACAACAAACACAACAACAATACCAAAGCAGCCTGTGATGTGGCATCTAACAGAAGCATTAAAAAAAATGACGCTTCCCACATGTAGAAAAAAAAAGAGGATGTTACTTTAGTGCTGTGACGGGTTTTTTAAAGGAAAAATAGAATAAAAGATGCTGTTGGCAAGGTGCTATGTTACTTCAGAAGTGTGACTGCTACATTCTTGTCCCTTTCTGCTTTCCTGCATATTGAGCTCTTTTTTTTTTTTCACAAATGTTTTCAGAAAGATCTTTACATCCAAGGAGAATAGGGATGAGAGTTTGATCTTAAGTGTGTTGCTTCTTGTCCAGAAACAGCAGAATAATATTAATAATTCCTTAATCTTCTTCATCTGCCTTTATAATGCACTTCATTTGACTTTTGGGATCATAACAAGTGGAAGGAAGGTATTTCTCATATACAGATTTTCATGTCCAATAAGAGTTCTGAAAAAATTGCCTTATCCCTTAGAATGGTGGCTGTAGAAAATGGGCCTATGCATTGCGGTAGCCTGGGTACAGGGAAGAGATTGAAGTTTCTTTGATTTAGACCAAAGGTTCTTAAGCTAAGATCAGTGCAGTTTTAAAATATGTTTTTTTATAACTGTATTTCACTACAATTGATTTCCTTTGCAATCCCATGTATTTTGTGCATTTAAAAATTTTATTCTGTGAAAGGGTCCTTAGACTTCACCAGACTGCCAAAAGCATTGATAACACAAAGAAGGTTAATAACCCATGAGCTAAGCTTTCTTTGCATTCTTAAAAGTCACAGAAGGGAGGCCCTAGAGCACAGAAAAATTGAGATACTTTTTCAGAGGATGACAGGAGTGTTGATATGTACTGCCTATGTTTTGGTGAGAGGGTATTTAAGTAAGAGGTCAGTATCCCTAATCGGGATAACAAATATGCATTTGAAAGCCAAGCAGAAGAAAAATAAAGTTCAAATAGAATAAAATAAAGAATTCCCTATAATGACAACAACAAATGGCTTTTTTTTTTTGGTAAGCATGCAGAAACCACGTCAGAGAGAGGTTGAGAGAAGTAAAAGACAGGAACATATTATAATGCTGTTTAACCTTTTATTGAGATTGCCATTGTACAGCGGTGCATAAGACAGTGAAAACTGGGCTCATTACATCAATATTATCTTAGCACTTTCTGAGGTCACACCAGTAATCTTTTATTCATGCTGTCACCAGAATGGAAGTTATGCTAATAGACCCAGGTCAGGCACACCAAGGCAGAAGGAGAGATTGAACATAAATCCCAGGGAGCAGGGAGGCTGCGAGGCTCATCAACAATCAGTGCTGGGGCAATGAAGCTGCAGCAAATAGGGGCAGAAGGGCCTACTTTTAAATCTTTGTCCTCTGTCCTTTGGATGACCAAATGGCAGCTAAGTCCCATGTGACCTATTCATTCACCCTCTCATTCATTCATGTCCGTTAACACAACAGAAATGGAAATGGGGGCAGGCAGGGCGACAGAAAGAGTCCTCACATTAACCCTCCCCAGAATAAGGTATGTCTATGATGTTTGTGGAGTTTGGTGTGCTATATTACCAGTGTATTTGAAAACTGGGGCAACTGAGAAGAATCTTCATTTTATTCATATTTGCTTTAACTCTCCTTGAGCAGCACTTGTCCCCTTCAGTTGTCACATTTGATATCTCAGCTAAAAAGGCTAGGAACTTTTTTTTTTCCCTCTAGCCCATTCTTTATTATCCTGTAATGTGATGAATGGATAAAATATATTTTCGAAGAGATACTTGGACAGGTTTCCCAAATGTGCTTTTTCCATCTTCTAATTTAATACCAACTATACATAAAAAAGTTATAGAATGTGTATGATGTGTCTCTTTTAATAGTTCATCAGAATTATTTTAGTAAACCATCTTAAAGAAATAGAAGGCAAAAAAAAAAAACACTTTTCTAAACTGATAGCTTAAATTCTTGTCCCATCCCCTGCCAAATACACTTAGGCATAATTTTGTATGTTGCCTAGGCATATAACATGTCATGTTATGACCTTATCTAACCAAAGAGTTGAATGTTTCCTTTTCAGCACAAGTTGCCACAAATTCAAACGAAATCTCTCTAGTAACTGACAAGCTATTTTTTGAAGGCTAAGAGAACAAGTGGATCTGCCTGTGAAGATTTGATAAGTCCATTATTAAAGATATTTTAAACCAAATAGCTACTTTTTCCTTTTTATATTTGGAAAATTATTAGATATAAATGAATGAGATATGAACTGATGTTAGAGTTGATAAATTTCAGTGTTGGCCCTTCTCATTTACAATGAATCTAAACAAAATGTCAATAGGTATGGAATGTAAATGGAGGCAAATACTGATAATGACAAAGCCATGCATGTCAACAACAGTGTTAAAACCAATGTGCTTAATTAAAAAAGTGAAGTCAATTAAAATCAAAATAACAGTGCAGCATGTACAAATGCTGGAATAATCATTAGGCCTGGCTGAATAATGGAGGAGTATAGAATTTTTTTTTTAAATGGAACAGCAGGGGTGATACATTACACAAAGCGACACTCTACAACAATATGACAATTGAATTACTTCAGCCCCATTAGGCAGGTGCAGAGGAATAATTAACATGAATTTTTCCAATGAAAAGAAAAAAAAACAACTTTTTTGTCTAATAACATTAACAGCTATTTCACCCCCCCAAAAAAAGAAAGAACCTATGGCAGAGAACAGGGTGATTAAAAAGAGGGTGGGGGTAGGGTAGTTAAGGAAGCTTTCTGTATCCCCTGTGGTAGTATAGATAATGGAGGGGGAAAAAACAACAAACAAACAATGTATATGAGTCTGACTGTTGAAGAGTCCTCATGGCATACTTTCAACTTCTCTCTCTTAAGTTGTCTGCCTATAAGCATTGCTTTTGATTTTTTAATGTTAAAAACAAAACTATAAAGGATGCGCAATAGTTTTAGACTGCCTAATCTCATTCAGATATGAAAAAGGAGTCCTGCATGAGGCCCCAGGCAATATTTGATATCTGTTTTTCCATCTCAAATTCAAAACGAATTGTGGCCTCCAGTTTGGGTCTAAGCACAAGGCTGCTCACTAAAATATTACTGGGAATGAAAGAGTGACTTCAGATTTTTTCATGAAGGTCAAGCAGTTTAGGATCTCTTTGCTTGCTTCATTCCCTCCCAAAAGTAGCATCCCATCTTAAAACAGACTTGATAAAAATCTTTCTCTTTCATTTGCTTCCAATGGGAACTATTTAATTTATATGGAGATAAATCTCTGTGTACTATAAAGGAAAGGACTGAAACTTTTGATTCCTTTCCTTGCAATTAAGGAAGTAGGAACACTGGAACCCCTTATCCTCAAATAACCTTTTCAATTTAGAAAGATCTGAATCTCGTGGGATATGCAGGGTGCTTTCAAAGAATGGGTGCCTCGATCTGGAAATAGTTATTTATTCTTACAGGAGATCATTCAGCTTCGAGCTTAAAACGTTTTGCTAATGTTATTTCTTTACTGTCCATCAGACCTCTATGTAGTAAAACCCATTGCATTTTGAAAATGTAGAAACACCAATGCAGCATAAAGAGTTTGAGGGGTTCACCTACTGAGGGTCGACAACAGAACTGTAACAGAAGCACTGACCTCTTTATGTCTCTATAGGGACTGTTTGCTGTTCCAGTAAACTAGAAGAGACATTGTTGAAGGCTTGAAAGTAATTTTTGCAAGATTCATAGGATTGAAGAGATGTCTGAACTGCTGGAGCCCAAACTCTTCATTTTGCATGTAAGAAAATGGAGAAATTAAGTGACTGGTCAAAGTTTTACAAATATCAAGTAACAGGATCAAGATGTGTACTGAGCTCTCTGACTGTATCCAGAACTCAATTTCCTGAACCTCAGAATTCAGTCTTTTACAAATGATCTTTGTACATTTTTTCCACCTGAGGTCAATGATAAGAAGCCTAAAGTTCTGCCAGCAAATTTTTAAAAGGCATTCATTCATCTGTCTCCTTTTAAGAAAAGAAGAAACAAAGAACTTCTCTGAGAAAATTAACTCTAAGTTACTATTGATTTTTTTATTTGAGGATTAATGACTGTCAGCATGGTGTAGCACTAGAAAGAGCACTGGCCTCAGTGGCAGAAAGGCCTGTGTTCAGGTCCTGCCTCTGACACATTACCGGCTCAGAGATGTGGTGGAAGCTAAGAGTTTCTGACAACTTTCCAAAACTGTGACCTTCACAGCAGGTGGCTGTGGGTATCCCTTCCCGAGAAATCCATACACCTGTGCAATCAAAGTTCCGGTCTACAGTCCTGCGTATTTCCTCCCTTTGTTTCCCCCCACCAGGTATCATCTTAATGACTTAGCAACTGTTGTTATTGTTGTTGTTTTGGTTTGGTTTGCTTTTGGTCATATCTTTGTCTTTGACAGAGGAAACATATCAGTGTCCTTAGTTGTCAAGAGCAGCGGTAAAAGATTTAAGAGAAAAGGAATTTGACACTTTTTTCTCCCTAAAATATGAGTACAAGAGAATTTCTTAAGAGATTGCATTAGTTAGCCTTTGTCAGGAGTGTGGGCATCTATTGATATCTTCAAATTCTCGCCTAAATCTCACGTGGTTTGTTTTCTCTATCCAAGCATCTCTTTTCACATACTGCTCACCTCCTCCTTACACGTACATACTTACACATTTCTCCAGAATGTCCTTCAGGACAACCGGCCTCCTTTCTTGCTATTTTTCCCCACAGGGAACTTGAAAAAGAAGACACAAGTTTCAGAGAATATAGGGGTAAAATGTTTGTATATACCACATAGGATTTTACTATAGCATTTATCAATACTTTTCCAATTTAACAACAAGATGTTATGGGTATAATAAATCAATAAATAAGCATTTATTACACACTTACATTGTGGTTAATCACTGGGGATACAAAAACAAAAATGAAACAGTGCTCCACCACAAGCAGCTTACAGTCTAATGCACCAAGCTATGTGTGTGTGTGTGTGTGTGTGTGTGTGTGTGTGTGTGTGTACACATATATATGTATATATGTATATACCATGTATATGAACAATGAATACAAGGTAGTTTAGGGGGGTGGTACACTGGCAATTGGAGAGGGGAAACCAAGAGAGGCGTCATGAAGAAGGTGGCATTGGATGGCATAGTAGATATAAGCTAACACAAGTTGGGTTTTTTAGCAAAATATTTTATGGTACTTGAAGGTTATGATAGAACAATTGTTCCAGGTCTTCTAACATCCTGAACTCTTAGTTAAAAATTTCTTAAGAAATTATAAATTAAGAAATTATAAAATTCTATAAGAAATTATAAAAATAAAGAAATTATAAATTCTGCCTACATATTCACAATTTATGAACCAATCTCATGTAAATGACTTCACCACTTCCCTATCTCTACTTCAGCTCCCTCTTAGAGGGACTTAAAAATCCAGTTTAAGCTAAGAGTTGTAAGTTGTAAGTGTATGAAATATCTATACCTAAGAAAGATAACTTGAAGATAGACCAAAGGAAGGAGTAGCAAACAGAATTCCACCCTGACAGAGGGCTGACAGAGATCCCAAGAAATGTACAAAAGATATGAGTTCATCTCTTCCTACCAGTTGGTAACTTCTTACTTGAAATAATGAATCCTTCTAAGCATATGGTAAGTTCTATTGTCACCTAAGACTATAGGTTCTAGACATCCTACCTCAAATATGGCTCTGAGGACACTCAGTTCCTGCTTCCCTGTTCCTGTTATCATCTTAACTTTAGGTGCATCCATACAATATGCCCCAATACCTCATTGTTAGGTTCAAGAATAAAAAGCATTTTATTTATTTTATTTATTTATTGCAAAGCCATTAGAAATTACAAACAACAAAGGGCAGCTAGGTGGGGCAGTGGATAGAGCATCAATCCTGAAGTCAGGAAGACCTAAGTTCAAATACAGACAATCCCTAGCTGTGTGACCCTAGGCAAGTCACTTAACCCTGATTACTCCTTTAAAAAAAAGAAATTAGAATAATGTGATTTGGAAGAGTGCCAGGACATCCAAATGTTTTCTTCTATTGTTTCTGTCATTCATAATAATCTGCTGAGTTTCTGCCTCGCTGATTTGCTGATTTACTATTCCCACTGAACTGGATATAACTATAAATATTCAGGTAAAATTCTTTTTTTTTTACTAATTGATTTCTTCCCACTTTATTTCATATAGTCAGTACATGAAACATGGAAATTATATGTTGGAAAAATGTATGCAGAGATTATTTTTATTATACTCCTTAATACCATAGATAAACATCCAGAGAGAACCTTGGAGATTATATGTTCAAGGAGTCTCAAGAGGCCCAGCAAGTTTATGAGGCTTGCCTGAAACTAGTCAGTCAATCAACAAATATATATTAAGCACATACTAAGTGCCAGGAAGGTAGTAACAGAAATGGTCTTCTGGTGCCAAATTCAGTGCTCTTCCCATTACACTTCCTTATATACCACTCATAATGAATGAGATTAAAAAAAAATACTCTCACAATACACAACATGGAGTTTCATATAGATGTATCTGGTTCTATATCAAGCACTAGATAAGACCTTAAAAATAGGTTCACTATTCTGAGTCTGGATGTTTAAGATCCCATGACACATCACAAAAATTGGAGTTTGCCCAGACGTCCTTGACTGAGAATGAACTGAAAATCCTGAGCAAAGTAGAGTTGGAAATTTTAATCACCCTGTCAATGTAACACTTTAATGGATGCAGGGCACAGGTGAAGTTATGTTTAAATATCTGATTTAAGTACTTTATCAAACAGTTGGCTACTTTAGAATACACAACAGCTCAATAACTCGGCTGCATCCTGATATGATATAAAATAGAGCAGAAAGTCGCATGAAGATATAGACTGGGGAGTTACACAAAGGTAAAGATCCAGCCGATCTTCTCTAGAAGCTACTCCTTACTACTATAAATAAGGTTTTATTCTAGAAAGCAACAAACATATTTTCTAAGTAGTTCATTAGCAAGAATTTTTTTTCTTATGAAATCAATTGCCATCCACTTTCCCTTGGCATAAATAATAATAACCAAAGGGGAAAGAATATATTTAGGTAAGTCTTGATGGAGAGGAAAAGGTGTGGAAAATGCCACGTTGAGTCTTTTTTCAGTTGTGTCAGACTCTTTGTGGTTTTATTGGCAGCAATACTGGAGTGGTTTGCCATTTTTTCCCTATAAATCATTTTACAGATGAGGAAACCAAGGCAAACAAGGTTAAGTGATTTGTCCAGAGTCATACACTTGGTAAATGTCTGAGGACAGATTTGATCTCAGGCAGGTGAGTCTTCTGATTCCAGGCCCAGTACTCTATCTACTGCGCCATCTCATTACGGCAGGAAAAGACCATACCCATGATCTTTTACCATGAGAAGGCTGGGTAAGGCAGGGGACACTTGGGAATAAAGAGAAGCTGACAGTAGGGAAGGCAAGCTTTGTCTATGTTAAATTTTCCTATGGCTAGCACTAAAATCATCTCATTGCTCCTGTTCTAAATAAACAGGGTAGGGATGGTGAAAATGGTGAAGCACGATCATTTTTAAAGGGGGAATACCGAGTTCTCTTGGATTGGTCATTTCTTCCTGGTCAGTTAAGTGCTTTACACTTTCCCTGGTGGTGGCCTTCTAATTTACTAAATCTTTCAATCTGCATTTCCTTAAAAACAAGGGATTGAATGCTCTGCATCTCTGGCCTCGGGGAACTAATGATTAAAACAGCATCAAATGGAGTGCAGTACAACTTTTTTTTTTTTTAATGATTGTGACATCTCAGAGCTGATGCCCTCAAAGATGGGCAAGACTCCCAAGGAAATGTGTAGCCCTATCATATGTGAGTTTTTGACTCTTTGAGGTGCTGAAGCTATTATGCAAAATATAACAGGAAAGGAAGCTTCAGCAGGAAATGCTGTTCTGTGAGAGGCTCAAAGGGAATGCCAAGCTTTCTTAAAGGTGAGGACTTTTCAACTTGGCATAATCTCTGGTTACAAACAGATAAACAAACATAAAAACAGAAGGTAGAATGTTAACCCAAGTAAAATTCAATATACCTCTTATTGAAAATCTGGCTGAGCTTGGTTAATGAATTCAGGTAAGGATTAGATCAAGCCTGTACAACATCGGGCCTGCTGGCTGCTTGGATTTCAGTCAGCCTGGTTAAAATGTAGATAGATGAGTGCTTTGTCTATGCCCCACTTAACCAGCCCTCCACTAGTCACTCTTGTGTCCATCATTTAACACGGCCGGTGGGTTGCCACTGTGCACTCACTAGCTGTTTGTCATGTGACCTGCATCAACCAACCACTGTCAGTCTGTCTCTAGTCTGAGAAGAGCAAGAGTCCTATTTTTTCACTGTTTTCAGTCATTACTGGCATTGAACAGGGAAAAAGTGAGTGCAGCCACGCGCCAACGCAGCCGATGCCCGCTATGTGATGAACAGTAACAATGTGAGGGCTTCTTCCCCTCCCTCATTGTGTGGCCACCCTCCAAGTTACATGACTGTCTGGTGCTCTCTCCAAGGTCAGACAAACAGTTCAGTATTTCTTTGTATGTGAACAGCTGCTGTGGAGATTTTTGGTTTTCACGTTAAAGTTTTTGGGGTGACTTTGTAAAATGGGTGACAAAAATAAATGGAAGATCAAATCAGAACATAGAGTGTTTCATCCAGAGTGGACAAATAAATACCTGTTTACTTACACGAGAGACAAAATATTGTGCATTATTTGCCCAGAAGAGCCACTCCAAAGGAATACAATCTTTGTCCCCATTTTGAATCAAAACATCCTGACTTAAGCAAATTGGACACCAAATGAAAACAAATTAAAGCATCCAAATTGTTGAAAAATCTCAGTGGGGAACAATGTTTTTTCAAGAAAATAAACTCAGAAAATGAGGCAGATACTAAGGTTAGTTTTCAGATTTGTAAAGAAATCGATTTCAAACATGATAAACTGATTTCTGACAAAAAGTGTAATACATCCCATTAGCTAAATACAAAGAGTAAGAAAACCTGAAAAATGTATTAAAACGTACCACTTAGCAAAGTAATTTTCGACATTAATGTGATTTCATGATAAATATAAATCTTAAGTAATAAGTATAATTAATTGATATTAATTGAAATTTCCCTTTTTTAATATGGTTTATTTGCAAAATAGTTTAATCATTAATTATGCCTTTTCTTGGAAAGTGAGCCACTAAACACCTATCTGTGGCCTGAAGAAGTTTAGCTTATTTTAATTTTGACCCCTCCCTACTGTCAAGTTGTACAGGTCTGGATTAGATGTTTGGTTTTTGTCATCTTCACCCACAGTGGGGAAGCTAGGCTGGCAAAGCTGATGGTGAGCTAGTCCTGGAATCAGGAAGCCACAAGTTCAAATTCAGCCTCAGACAATTACTACCTGTTTGACCTTGGGCAAGTCACTTGACAGACTTTTGCCTAAGAGGCAGTGAAGTAGTACAATGAATAGAGCAGTGGGCCTGGAGTTAGGAAGACCTAAGTTTAAATCTGGCCTCACACACTTACTAGTTGTGTGACCCTGGGCAAATAATTTAACCTCTGTTTGCCTTAATCTGCTGAAGAAGATCCCATGGACAGTATAGTCTACAGGGTCATAAAGAGTTGAACATGAATGCACAACAGAAAAACATCTTCGCTATGCCTGGTATTCTAACTAGCATTCAGCAAGGGCTAA